CACCATGCATGCAGTGGAATCCACTGCCTTATGTAAAGACTTGGCTGGGCAAAGGAAGAAGAGCAGCTCACACAACAAGTGGCATGGCTCGCCATCACTCAAAGGAGGATAACTACTTTAGGCCTCTTTGGAAAATCTTTTAAGTGATGTGTTTTGATGAGGGGAACATCCATTTTGAGTTTTTGCTCATAACTATCTGTTCTCTAATTTATTTCTGTGACACTTATATGTCCGAAAGTCCAAAGACAGACATGTTAACTGTTCAGGTGTTAGATTAAGATGTTGAAAAGATTTTTCTTTTGAAAAAATTTGTAATTTTCACATAAGCCTGTCAAAAGAGACACTTTAACTTTCGTGTTTATTGAGTTAATTTTATAGTTTATTGAGTTTATTGTGGATGTTGATAAATGTTTTTTACAACAAAAAATAGGTAAAGAGGCAAAGAGAAAAAGAAAAAAATGACATGCATGGTTTTAAGTGTTCATTAAGGTTTCATACATGCCAGCAACCTAAACATTAAAACAAATATTTTACTATACACGTTGTGAAGTGTTTCTAATTTCTTTCTACTCTATACAGGTATAGTAAAATATTGAAATGTTTTTATTTGTTTGTTTGATTTTTGACTTTGCTTTTTGTTAGTATGTATTTTTACATCTCCACTAACCAATGGATACTTGGTCAAGACCCCTGGGGATCATGTTCCGTTATGACAGACGTCATGGCGTCAGAAGTGCTAGGCTTACTGATGAATGGACAAGTTAGACTAATTCTAGTTGGCCCAAGGTCAAGTTAAATTTGTCAAGACACCATTTTAGGTAACAGTTTACATGCCACCATCCTATATAAACTGTGCCTCTTTCTGTTCACAATCATCACATAGCTTCTGTTGTTGAACTGTTGTATAAAAGCAATATCACACTCGAGGTCGTGACGTTATACAGTATAACGTCACTCCCTCTCGTGAGATATTGCTTAAATATATATATATATATATATAAGGGATAATGTATAGTGAGCCGGTGACTGTTGAAAAATAACTCCCGACAGGGGAAGAGGGTGGGAGTGGATGAACCCGGTTAAAGAGTACCCGCCCGAACGGGACGCTGTAATACTAAAGTGAATGCGCCCACAAGGAGGCAGGGATCATTTCATTGGTCAACAGTAAATCTGGCATTCTGTTGGTTGGGGGATTTTGATAGGGTTGTTACACAACAAAATCCAAGCGCAGAGCAGAAATCTGAGAGCAGAAATTCCGCGAGCGCACAGAAACAGTTTGAGCGTGAGGAGAAAAGCCGAAGCTCGAGCAGGAAATCCTGCGGTCCGACGAGCCTCTTTCCTTTCCCTGTTTTGCCCCGTGTAGCCTTGTTGTAAGCTAACTCCTTCCTATCTGAAAGTTTCTGGTTATCTGTCAGTCTCTGGTGTTGGGAATCAACATATATTTACCTCACACGATGGCACCAAATATGTTGGGAATCAACATATATTTACCTCACACGGTGGCACCAAATATGTTGGGAATCAACATATATTTACCTCACACGGTGGCACGAAATTTGTTGGGGTCAACACCTTAGGCTTCACACGGAGGCACCAAATATGTTGGGGTTAAATTAATTAATAATTATTATTAATAATTAATAATTATGTTAAATAATGTGACTTAATTAACATTAAATCACCTCGTGGGGCACCATTCCCGTAAAGGGAAAAATGATAGCCAGTTAAAGATAGCAGTCTCATAAAATAGGCTAAACTATTAATTTGGAGTTTGATTAATAATTAAATTAATAACAACAACCAAAATTAACGGTAATGCCTGAAGGATTTTGGAGTTCTTGACGCAGCAGAGGTTGACTATTCATTCACCCTTGTGCAACATTAAACAGACAGCAGGTATGATTCCAAAGAATTATATTTATTCACAAATTAGCAAAGCAAACCAAAACACACAAATTCTAACTAACTATATACAAGCTTGGTGTGTGTTTGTGTGTGTGTGTGTGAGAGAAAAGAGAAAGACAAAGGCGGGTGTGGTGATCAAGGAGGCGTTTGGCCTACAAAACAAAATGGCTGACAACAGAGAACTACCAAAATGGCCGAATCAAGGCTGGCTTCCGGTTGAGGTATTTGTCTGACCGTGTGGTCAGGACAAAGACAAAGGAAAAGAAGCGGGAACTTGGAGATGCCTGTTTGGATGTAGCTCTGTTGAAAGCCTGTTTGTTAATGAGTCTGTGTCAATGTGACGTGTGCTGCAAACGGTCTGAATTAGTGCAGAGATTGTTTAGTTGCATGCAAGAATCTGTTTGTGAACAGTATTAGCAAACTAAACACTTAGCTTTGGCGAAGCCAACTAATCAATGACCTAACTGCAAACAATCACAACAATAACTCAATGAACAGCATCAAATCACATACAACAAGTCAAACAGTCTTGCTTAGCCTGTAAAGCTGTGATTAGCTATGCCCAGTTGTTACATTACCGATCCTTGAATGGATGGAGGAAAGAGTCACTCGGTGGTGCTGCTTTGTTAGCTGGCAGAAGAAGGCTGGGAAGATGGCTCCAGCTGCAGTCTTTGTTGGGTCCTTTGTTCCAAAGGTTCTGATCCGAGGAAGCTGGTCGCTCGGGGTCCTTGCAGAGTTAGACGCTGGGTGCTAACTCACTTAGTTCCTTGTTGCTGGAAAGCTGGTTTGCAAACCTTGTGTTTGCCAGAGAGTCTGTGGTCAGTTGCCCTCCCTTTAGTGGTTTGGGCTATGGAGCAGGGGTTCGGGCCTCTGCTGTCCAGGCCCAAACAGGAAGAGGTGTTAGCTGTTCAACAGCTGGGGCAAGAAGAGCACTGCTCCACGGTTGGAGCAGAGAAGAGAAGAGGAAGTTCTGTGGAAGGGAGCAGACCTGGTACAGATGCCTGTGACATCACAGAGTCACATGTCACTGTAAAAGGTCTTGTCCAATCAAGTTTTGGGACTTGAGTCTCACTGAGGTGTGAGGTGAGACCTCCTGTGGAGAGGGGTGCCACTTAGCTCTCTTTGTTTGAAGACAAAGAGCATACAGAGGAAAAAGCCTTGAAATCAGTGATGATTTTACCAAATGATAAATTATCTGTGGTCCTGTGAATCCCAACACTGGCGTACTTATCAATGAATGCATATCTTCTATATGGGAGTATACTCTGGTATCTCTGGGCCGTCTTCTTCAGGGTGCCTCGGTTATGTGGCCTCTCCTATTTGTCTTTCACTTGACTTTCCTGGGGTTGACAGCAATGCACAGCCGTAGATCTCCAGTCACTCTGTTGTGTTGACCTATAGTGGCAACCCCTTCTGGTATTCCAGAAAATAAATTCAGAAGAATTGGTGCTATAATGCTTGGATTATTACCCAGTCGCTCCAGCACTCGTGCTAGTATTTTTGGCTTACAGATCTCACAGCACCTGCTCCTACTGCCTGCTTAAAAATAGTCTCTTGTATTTGAGTAATAAATCTTGTGATTCGCCAATGCTTTAGATTGGTCAGCTGTGTGTACTGCCACTGCTCTACGCCCGTTTCACCTCTATATCTTAAAAAAACACATTTTATCTCCGGACCTCCTCCTCTGTTAAACTATTTTTAAAGCTAAAATTTCATCTTTACTGCTGCTTTCTTTGTCCATCAATCATTAATAATAATAATAATAATAATAACTTTAATTTATATAGCACCTTTCAAGAAACCCAAGGTCACTTTACAGTACATAGTAATGAAACAATTACACCAACAGAACAGTACAATACAACACAAGCAGTACAGAAAAGCAACAAAACTATAACAAACAACAGAAGAAAGCAGAGAAATTGTGTGATGGTACACTGGGCATGAGATGGATTATCGAATTAAAAAGCCATGGTGAACAGATTAGTTTTGAGGGTGGATTTGAAAATGTCCAGTACAGTTACAACTTGCAAATCTGCAGCTTAAACTGAAAAAGATCCAATATTCTTTCCTTGATTATAATTATTTTTCCAAAAATGCATTTCTTTTTAATCTATTTATTTATTTATTTATTATTGTTTTAGTTGTGTAGAAAAGAGAATCTGCACACTTGGATCAATGCAAGTATCTAGTATTATTGTTTTAGTTCAACTAAATTTGAATACACTCATCTAAGCTTTAAGGTTGCTATAGCACACCAAAAATGTGTTACAAGACACGTAGTATATCTCCCTCTGAAGTATAGCATGATATAGAAATAATTATGGCAATATATTTCAACTCTTTTAATTTAGGACATTGGATTTGGTTACCCTCCTCCACTGTCGGTATGGATACACTTTGATTATTTTTCCATATTGATTAATGCGTTTATATAACGATGAGTAGGTCGATGAGTAGAATCCTGGCATAGGTGTTCTTAGCTTCCAGATGAGTCAAGGTATGGTTCCTCCATAGACCGGTTTGCCATATAAGCAAAGTGCAGAGGGTCTAAGCTGACAGGGAGTCGTGCTTTAATGTGCTCCATGACAAGCCGCTCAAAGCACTTCATTGCTACTGGGGTGAGGGCTACAGGATGAAAGTCATTTAGACAGTCAGGGTTGGCTTTTTTGGGCGCAGGGACAATGGTGGCACTCTTTAATGTGTGTGAGTTAACAGGAAAACATTTGTTACAAGGGACGACAAAAAAATGACTAAAGACTGTTAAATATAACTATATCATTTTCTTTCTTCTTACAGGTATTTTTTGGGGCATTTTTAGCCTTTATTTGACAGGACAGACAAGCATAGAGGGGGGAGAGAGAGAGGGAGTGACATGCAGCAAAGGGCCACAGGCTGGAGTCGAACCCGGGCCGCTGCGGCAACAGCCTTGTACATGGGGCGCCTGCTCCACCACTAAGCCACCGACGCCCCAACTATATAATTTTCTAATTAAATCATAAACCTTTTTGTCTTTACTGAGGACATGCCAGAACCTCCATCTACTTTTATCTGAAGGCTTAAGCTTTGTTAACTGTTCTCTGTCCATTCCTCAGCCATCATCGGCCCACCCAGTGTCTCTCTCCTCTCGAATGGGGGTGTTGTGGAAGTCAGCATTAAAGATCCACTGTTCAAGATCTCTGCACTCAGGAATGTTTACAACTTGGCCACCTACAACATCACCTACTGGAAAGATGGACAGAAGGAAAAGGTTGGATGCATTGCTCAAAGTGCTCTTTATATCGGTGTGGATCTCACACATTGTGGTTCATCAACTAAGTATTATTAACCATTAGGTTTGGGGATCTGATTTCTCACTTGACCATTCATGACAAAAAACATCTGTGCTCAGAGTGTCAAGGTGCTTATGAATGGCATAAATAATGCTGTGCCATATGAATAACATACAAACAGTTTGAATTTGCCAAGTTAATATAAACCTAAAAAAGTTCCCAACATTAGCTTATCTGTACCAAATGTCATGGTAATGCATCTAGTATTTGTCAAGATATTGTCCAAATGATGAATAGACAGTCGATGCATTATTTGGCCTTTTTGTAGTCTTTTGTGTATTATTTGTGAAATCTGGACATAAATGTGCTTTTGATATCTGCTCAAAACACTCCTTATGGAACAATAATTTTTACAATGCCGTAACATTACAATGCCATGGTGGCTGCTGTGGCTCAGAGGTAGAGCGGGTCATCCACCAATCAAAAGATCAGCGGTTCAATCCCGGGCTCCTCCAGGCTGCATGTCGAAGTATCCTTGAGCAAGATACTGAACCCCAAATTGCTCCCGATGGCTGTTCCATCGGTGTGTGAGTGTGTTAAAAAAAAACTGAGTAGCAGGTGGCACCTTGTATGGTAGCCTCGGCCACCAGTGTATGAATGTGTGTGTGAATGGGTGTACGTGACTCGTAGTGTAAAAAGCGCTTTGAGTGGTCACTAGATGACTAGAAAGGCGCTATACAAATGCAGGTCCATTTACCATAATATGATACTGTTGTTTCAAATAATATTGATCTTTGCCATGTCCTGTATGTCACTGTGCTGTGATGTATTTTATTTATTTTTATACCTCCATGCCGGCGACAGCCGTGGCCAGAAGCACCATGTTTTCGGGTTGTCCGTCCGTCCCATTCTTGTGAATGCAATATCTCAGGAATGCCCTAAGGGAATAACGTCAAAATTGGCACAAACATTCACTTGGACCGGGACTCAAAGATGAACTGATTAGATTTTGGAGAAATCAAGAACACCATGAGGGATTTAATAACATTGTTTATCCAAAGGTCAAAGGTCAACTTCACTGTGACATTATAATGTCATGACTCAGGAACAGAAGGGGAAACATTTTGTCAAATACTGAATTGGTGACTCCTATCTTGAAACTGTACTGATTGTATAGATTGTCTTCCCAGGGGGAAGATGTTTGCATCCATGTTTTCACAGACATGGACGTAAACTGTAACTGCAACTTGACAATTTTACAGAGGCATGTAACCATAAGGGGGTGATTCTAGTTTTATTTCCATACCTGACCTCTTCTTCTCTGTTCCTGTTACAGGCCAGAAACATTAGCAACGTGCAGCAAAACCGGGTGGTTCTTAGTGACCTGGACCCCTGGACCAAGTACTGCGTCCAAGTCCAAATCAACACAGGGAGCAACCACAACCCCAGCCAGCCCAGCAAAGCTGTTTGTGAGAGCACCACCATTGGTAAGTCTTTGCTGGATTTTTATTTATTCTTTTATTTGTAAAAGCACATCAGGTGGCCGGCCATAAAACTAAAGTTACGAATGTAACTACGGTTCTATAAATCCCGAATGACCGCCAGAGGCGGTGCTTTAAGCACTTAATATTCCCCTTTGCGCATGCGCAGTTCGAGTATGTATACCAACAATGTCACCTGTGACCCCTGGATGACCCGAAAGAGACTATATTTTCCGGTGACATCAGAGGATAATTTCCTACAGAATCTTCTTGCAAGAACACGAGGATTCTGAGTGCTCTGGCGGTCATTCGGGATTCATAGACCGTAGTCAAACTTAACTTTTGTAACTTTTGTTCTATTTCATCTCAGAGGCGGTGCTGTAAGCACTGAATGACTTATACCAGCAAAGTCACAAGGAATCCAGATTACGAACCTCAATGAGTAGAATCAGAGGATTCTGGTGAGAGGACCACGCCCAGTGGATGGGGAGTGGCAACATTCACCCCGTAGAACCTGGAGAAAGTGTCTGGCGATGCCCATGAGGCAGCAGCACAACTGTCCTCCAGGGATACTCCTCTCAGGGCCGCCCAAGATGTGGAGACACTCCTGGTAGAGTGGCACCTCACACCGGATGACATCCACAATCTAGTGTGACAGATGCTGGATTGTGGATGATCCATCTGAGTTCCATTTCAGACATGAGTCACTGACAGAGCATGCAGCTCACTGACATGCTTCGCCGAGGGAATGGCAAGGAGGAATGCGGCCTTATATGACACCCACTTCAGCTCTGCCTGTGCCAAGGGTTCAAAGGGAGGCCTGCATAGTGCATCCAGCACCAGGGGAAGATCTCATGCTGGGGGTCTCCTGGCTCTTGGAGGAAGCACCCTCAGAGCCCCCTTCAAGAAGATGGACACCAGACTGTGGCTCCCCACTGTGCCGTTGTCGACTCTAGCATGTCGACACGATATGGCCGCCACATACACCTTCAGAGTAGAAGGAAAGCGGCCATTGTCTAGGAGGAACTGCAAGAATTCAAGAATTGTAGGCACAGAGCAATGCATTGGGTCTTCACTCCGACCCATACACCAGTTGGAAAATAGCTTCCATCTGTTGTACTGCAAACGAGTGGATGGCGCTCTGGCATTCATTATGTTATGCCTGACGGGGTCCACACAGCTGCTCAGCAGCTGTTCAGGCCCTCCAGCAGCCACACACAGTTGCCAGATCCAACCCCCTAGCTGGGATAGGAGATCTCTCCTGTTGGGGAGGCGCCACGGCACGCCACGACAGAGTCGGTGCAGCAGAGGAAACCATGTCCTCCCTGGCCAGAAGGGGGCTGAATAACTCTCTGAAGTACTGGCTGAATCAGAGGAAGTGGTGGGAAGGCATAGAGAAGACCCTCTGGCCAATGATGAGCCAGAGCATCCTGGCCTAGAGGGCTGGTCGTCTCTGCCAAGGAGAACCACAGAGGGCAGTGGGTTGACGCCTCTGAGGCGAAGAGGTCCACCTCTGCTCTGCCAAAGAGGCTCCAGATGGTGTGCACCACCTCCAGGGGGAGGCACCACTCCCCTGATGGAGGCCTTTGACGGGAGAGGAAGTCTGCAAGGTGGTTCTGCTCTCCCGGTAGATATATTGCCCGTAGACTGATCAAGCGGGGGGCTGCCCAGGTCAGGAGATCCTGTGACACCTGCAGCAGCTGTGCAGACCTTGCCCCACCCTGATGGTTGATATGATATACAGTTGAGGTGTTGTCTGACCGTATGAGGACATGCTTGCCTCTCAGGTACAGCAGGAAGTGCTTGAGAGCTAGGTGCACTGCTCGCAACTCCAGCACATTGATGTGTTCTGTGCGGTCGTCCACAGACCGCGTCCGTGAGCCGCCCTGCTCTGCCACACTGCACCCATCCTGAGGTGCAGGCATCTGTAGTGACAGTCTCCCTGCGAGATGGAATGGAGCCCATAGGGACACCCCTTGTCATGTAGGCCCTGTCCCTCCACGGGGCCAGGGTGAGGAGACACTGCTGCAACACCCTGAGCTTCCTGTGCTGCCTGGCATCCAAGTGGAAGCTGTTCAACCACCTCTGCAGAGGGCGCAGCGATAGCAAGCCCAGCGGAACAACAGCTGAAACGGATGTTAGTTTGCCCAAAAGATGAAGAAATGTGACCAAGGGCAACAGATGTCCCCTTTGGAATAGGGGAAGAAGGTGCAGGATGTCGGCCACACGGTGGGGGGACAGACAAGCTGTCAAAGTTACAGTGTGCAATTCAACACCAATGAAAATTGTGGTCTGAGATGGTTCCAGACAACTCCTCTCCATATTTACTTTGAGTCCTAGGTGAGCCACGTTGGACAGGAGACGCTCTGTATCTTGGCACAGTCCGGGATGGGGCACAGATCAGCCAATCGTCTAAGTATGGAAGAACCTTCATGCCTGCAGAGGCGCAAGGGCCACTGCCACATATCTTGTGAACATCCTTGGGGAGAGGAGGAGCCCGAATGGTAGCATGCTGAACTGCCAGTGGCGGCCTCGATAGGCAAAACGCAGAAAATGCCGGTGTTGATGGGCAATGGGAACATGCAAATAAGCGTCCTTCATGTCTATGGACGTAAACCATTCTCCCTGGGCAACAGTTCCCAGAACATTTACCGTGGTCAACATGTGGAATGGCATGACCTTCATAAACCTGTTCAGTGCCCTCAAATCTGAGACTAGAAGAAATCCGCCAGTCTTTTTTGACACGAGGAAGAATGTTGAGTAGAACCCTCGGGGTGTGACGGGGATCTACAGCCTTGATGGCGCCAGGGCTTTTGCCGGGTCGCTGATGATGGTCATTCTGACCTGGCTGGATGTAGGGGGCTGGCGTCGGAATTGAAGCTTGTACCCGTGGGCTGAGGTGGCAACCACCCACGGGTCTGAAGCGTGAGTAACCCAGTAATTGAGCTGCTGATGGGAGAAATACCCGACAGCCTGTCCCGAGGCCTAGGCCTGTTGGGGGAGGCATACATCGAAGACCTGCAAGCTGCTGCCTGGTCTGTCCAGCCTGGATGGTTCGCTCCAGGTTCCTGCGCCGCTCGACCACATATCTCTCCTGGCTCCACAGGGAGACTATGGAGAGTTCTCCTAGACACTTCCGTCAAATTCGATTGTGAAAGCCAGACTTGGTGACGAGTTTAAATTATACGTGAGGGATGTGATGGTAGGCTCGATAGCCAGCATGCGATCCAGGCCCCCTCTTGCTGCATCGTGCATAGCTGCCAGGGTTCGACCATCAGCAGAGAGAGGGAAGCAAGCTCTAGTGTCTCTCCAACAGGCCTGCAATTCCTTCAGGTAGGCCTCAGAGTGGGGAACAGCAAAGGCGGTGGAGGCTGGCCTGCGTCTGGGGCCATCTATCTAGGGCCATGCGCATGATCACGCATGATGCATGATCACGCATGGAGCTGTCTTCCCTCTCAGCCAGTGAACTCTGCGCTGAGGAGTGGGAGCCTGGCTCTGAGGCCTGGGAGACCCCATCCCCTGTATCTTCCCCATAATGACGGAAGTGAGCAGCCGAAGCTGCCAGGGAGAGCGCATCATCCTCTGGAACCAGTTCTGGCTTTGGAGGAGTGAGCACCTCATCCTCCTCCGAAGGGACAGCAGGCTTGCGGGCCCTTAGAATGGACCTTATCTGAACTAACTCAGCAGACAGCTGATCCACCTTTGATGAAAGTCTGCCGTAGCCAGTCTTTGTCTTTTTTCTGGAGGGCGCAGTTGCAGTGGCCTCAGCCCGATGCTTAGAGGGTCGATGTTGGGGTGGAAACAATTGGCCTGATGGTGGGAGGTCACCTTCACCCTCTGGGTGTTCCAGCTCTGCCAGTCTGGCAGCCCTCACTGCCCGGGGTATGTAGCTGCAATTCATACAAGGATTTTCAGAGAGTGCCTCCTTCAGGTGCAAGGCACGTAGGGCAGAGACCATAGCCATCATCTGGCTGCAGAAGAGCCCCACAGGAAGTGCAGTAATGGGAGTTATCCATCATGGTGGCACTGGAGGAACACTACCACACCGGCTAATGCGCACCTGTCCAAGCTGCAGATAACCTGAGCGCGAACGCTGCGGTTAGCTGGAGTATAGAAACTGTATGCTGGAGGGAGGGAGCGCATACGCTGCCTATACCAGCAGAGGCAAAATCCCAAGAGAGTGTAGAGAAAAACACTGCAGATAACCTGAGCATGAACGCTGCAGTTAGCTGGTAATCTGGAGTACAGATACCGTATGCTGGAGGGAGGAGGCGTGTACGCTGCCTATACTAGCAGAGGCTTAATAAACAACACAACCACAGAAAATCGACTGCTGTAAATCGTGTATATACAGATATGGATATACAGCGCCCTCCAAAAGTATTGGAACAGTAAGTCCAATTCGTTTACTTTTGTTGTAGACTGAAAACATTTGGGTTTGACATGAAAAGATGAATATGAGACGAGATCAACATTTCAGCTTTTATTTCCAGGTATTTACATCTGGATCTGATACACAACTTAGAAGATAGAATTATTTGTAATGGAACACAAAATTTTTAGGTGAGCAAAAGTATTGGAACATATAAACTTAAAATAGATTAAAGTGAATGAGACTTAATATTTAGTTGCAAATCCTTTGCTTTCAATAACTGCATCAAGCCTGTGACCCATTGACATCACCAAACTTTTGCATTCTTCTTTTGTGATGCTTTTCCAGGCTTTCACCGCAGTCTCTTTCAGTTGTTGTTTGTTTTGGGGGGTTACTCCCTTCAGTCTCCTCTTCAGCAGGTAAAATGCATGCTCTATTGGGTTTAAGTCTGGAGACTGACTTGGCCAGTCTAAAACCTTCCACTTCTTGCCCCTGATGAACTCCTTTGTTGTTTTGGCAGTGTGTTTTGGGTTGTTATCTTGCTGCATGATGAAGGATCTCCCAATCAGTTTGGTTGCATCTTTCTTTAAATTAGCAGACAAAATGTTTCTGTAGACTTCTGAGTTCATTTTGC